TGGGTGGGTTCAGTGGAACTGGTCGATTCAAGAGTTCTTTGAAGTGTTCTACCCACCTGTTTTGTTGCTCTTCAATGTTGATGATTACCTCACCTTCCTTGCTTTTCGCTGGTCGTTCTGGTTTGCGGCGATTTCCAGAGAGTTTCTTTGTCGTGTCATACAGTTGTCTCATGTTCCCTTCTTTTGCAGCCTTTTCCGCCGTCGTTGCTAAATCTTCCACATATTTACGTTTGTCGGTTCTGATGCTCCTCTTCACTTGTTTGTTTACTTCTGTGTATTCAGCTTGTGCCTTGGCTTTTTCTGCTCTTGTTCGACCGATATTGATTGCTGCTTTCTTGTTCCTCCTTTCTTGAATCTTGTCCAGTGTATCAACAGTGATCCACTACTTGTGACGGCGCTTCTTTTGTCACAGAACCTCATGACATGTTGAAGTGGTCGCCACTTTCATCCCTTTTCAGTTGCTCTCCATAGTAGTTCCTCTCCATTGAGTAGATCACCAAAGGCCTGGAACTTCTATAGACCACATTTATTTAAAATACAATAAATGTTGTAATTTGTAGACCATGCCTGTAAACATGGCGCGTACCTGCCCGTGCAGAAATATAGGTTATTATTGCTGAGGGCTATCTTGAATTTGTTGATTTTGTCAGTATCCCGGAAAAAAGCCATATTCAACTTTTGTGATTTTGTCCACCTCGTTGTCCAGGACTGCAGTGTGAAAGATTGTGTGAAAGATTGTCACCAAAACAGAAATGTGTCGCACAAGTCAGATCAGGTCACCACAAGGACTAAGATTCGAGTCACACAGCAGGTCACGTCAGTTCAAAAGTTCTGGACAATTCGACAAGTACCACTGGAAGTTTGGTGCTAAAATCAACCAGCCAACCATACCCCTAGTCTGAACAGACTCTCAGAAATATGGGGAGCGGATAACCACTCCACTGGACACAAAGTATGGGGAGGGGTGTTTGAACAGTTGATCGTTTCTTGTAGGAGACCGAAGTTACAGCCTGAACATTTTTTTGGATACGAAAAGGCACTTAGCGCCATCCCTCCGAAGGGGTGGTATAAAAAAACAAGTTTGATACAATTAAGCAGTATCCCATGCCGATTTTTTAACAGGACTTGGAAGCCTTCTAGATTTAATTAACCGTTATCACCGGGCCATATCTAACTGTGCATAAGAACTGGAACACATTCGGCGAGGGAAAAACGAAAGATTTTGAGTTAACTCACAAGGCTAATAAATAATTAAGGGACAAAATAGTCTAAGCATCTATGTTAACGTACCCAAACTCCTACTTCCCACTCTCCTTAGTGGTAGGCACTTAAGGCAAAAAATTATGAGATGCTCTTAACCAATTTATTAAGAACGCCTGGTAACTAAGCGCTAAAATGGCTATCATCATCAGTTTAGGGTGGTGTAATCTACTGTGACACAGCCTAAACTATGCCTCGACCTCTTTTCCTAAGCATATGAAAAGTTTCCAGCCTGACAACTTTTATATTTCATCTTAATGCTGCGCAAAAGGTACTACCAAGCTAAGAAATACAAATGTACAGACCAAATACATTGCTTCTTCGGTTTTTCTCATCGGAGGAAAACAAAGATTATGGCAACCCAAGCGTGCATAAGCATTAATAAACGTGTATAATGTGCACATATATGCATTAAAACGATTTTGGTTATCCTTCAGACAATGTATTTCCTAATTTAATTGCTCATGTATCATTCGAAAATTCATGGAAGTTCAGAATAACACTCAATCTCCTGAAAACGTGCTTACTCAACTGTTACTTTTAGGACAATGTGAACTATCCCCTTGACTGAGATTATAATTACATCCCAAAACTTGACACCTAACTTCAGAAATAGTGAACTGACTCTTCATAATGATGAGAGTTCCAAAATCAATGAACTATAGGTTAAACTAAACAAAACACTGGATATAAGTTTATCCACCGTGACATAGTGAGGTTTCAAAATTGAAGAAAATCTCACCGTCAGACTGTAGTGTATTGGAATTGGTTTTAACCACACGATTCTTAAAGCTAAACACGAGATAACTGAGGAAATTCATATTGAACACTAAACGCGGAGAGAGGGTCAACAATGGTGAACGTGGCAGCAATAAACCGAAATAGCATGACCCGGTCATTCAGGCACAGTGACTATAACCTCTATCTTCGTGTATCAAGTATATTACTCTCTTCCCAGCTCATCTGTGTCCCTCATTAATGTTAGACGTCATATGGCTGATGGTTGCCATAGGACGAGTCAATGCAGAGAATGATGTAGCTTCAACATAAGGTCTTATAGATTATATATTCATATCACGACAAATCCACAGTTTTGTGATTAGGTCTATTATTATGGTAGTAATAATACCGAAGTACAGCGCACATCTACAATTCCACAACCCTGACTAATATGTAGGGCAGTTCCAGCTTCCTGCACTCAGTATTCATTCTGAAAATCCGAGGACGTCGCGAGAGAGATAATATGAAATTAATCTAATTTAGTATACCTCTGTCCGTTCTACTACACAATGTGGGGCAAAGTTTGGCGTTCATACCCAAGTACCTTGGGTCTTCAACAGGGTATTGTTAAACAGGATGAAGGACTGCGTAGACGTCCAACTTCGTGACCAACAGGCAGGATTCCGTAAGGATAGATCGTGTACGGACCAAATCGCAACTCTACGGATCATTGTGGAACAATCAATTGAATGGAATTCATCACTCTACATCAACTTCATTAACTACGAAAAGGCATTTGATAGCGTAGACAGAACAACACTATGGAAACTTCTTAGACACTACGGCGTGCCTCAGAAGATAGTCACTATCATACAGAATTCATATGATGGATTACACTGCAAAATCGTGCATGGAGGACAGTTGACAAAGTCGTTCGAAGTGAAGACTAGTGTCAGGCAAGGTTGCTTACTCTCACCCTTCCTCTTTATCCTGGTGATCGACTGGATCATGAAGACGTCAACATCTGAAGGGAAGCACGGGATACAATGGACATGTAGGATGCAGTTGGACGATCTAGACTTCGCAGATGATCTGGCCCTTCTATCCCAAACGCCACAGCAAATGCAGGAGAAGACGAACAGTGTGGCAGCAGCCTCAGCAGCAGTAGGTCTCAATATACACAAAGGGAAGAGCAAGATTCTCCGATACAACACAGCATGCACCAATCTAATCACAATTGACGGAGAAGATTTGGAGGATGTAAAAACCTTTGCATATTTGGGCAGCATCATTGATGAACAGGGTAGATCTGATGCAGATGTGAAGGCGCGGATCGGCAAAGCAAGAGCAGCATATTTACAACTGAGGAACATCTGGAACTCAAAGCAACTTTTAACCAACACCAAGGTTAGGATTTTCAATACAAATGTCAAGACAGTTCTATTGTATGGGGCGGAAACTCGGATAATTACGAAAGCCATCATCTAGCAGATACAAGCGTTTATTAACAGTTGTCTACGCAAAATGCTTCGGATCCGTTGGCCGCACACTATTAGCAACAACCTACTGTGGGAGAGAACAAACCAGATCCCAGCGGAGGAAGAAATCAGGAAGAAGCGCTGGAAGTGGATAGGACACACATTGAGAAACGCACTCAACTGCGTCACAAGACATGCCCTCACATGGAATCCTCAAGGCCAAAGGAAAAGAGGAAGACCAAAGAACACATTACGCCGAGAAATGGAGATAGACATGAGAAAAATGGACAATAATTGGATGGAACTAGAAAAGAAGGCCCATGACAGAGTGGGTTGGAGAATGCTGGTCGGCGACCTATGCTCTATTGGGAGTAACAGGCGTAAGTAAGTAAATAAGTAATTCTGTAGACTTTTTAGTGACTGCTTCATTATAGACAAACGTTATTTCGCTCAAATAGGTGTGGATCACGATTGTTAACAACAAGTTAGTGTACTGCGTTTTTGTTCGTCTGTTTTAGTATCACAAACGTGTATAAACGTATACAGATAGGTATTTCAAGGCTAAGTTTGATTGCGATTGAACTAACTACAACTACCATAATGTTTTGACATCTAACGACTGTCGTAAGCTAGTGAAGTGGAAGTGGTAGTTGAGTAACACTGAGTGTTGAATGATGTATGAAAAATTGTTAAGGTTATTAAAGGTCAACGCGGACACATCTTTCCTCGTGTTGTGCAATAAAGCGTGTGGCAACTATCTTAAAGTCCTCGGACCCACTATGCGAGGATAACTAAACAGTCCCACAGTACAAGTTAAACCCGGAGTTACGCCTAAAATACATAAACTATGCAGAATACCTAATCAGTTCATCATTCAAGTGATACCGTTCAGTTAGTACTCAAAAGTATCGGTGAATTCTAAACCATAAAATATCAAGTAAATAAAACGTCAAAAGCCTCAAAACTAATTACTAGGAAGAAATTACGCTCTTGGCAAACTAAGAATGCAGTTCTGTCGTCAAACGTTAAATCAGCTCAATCAACTTGAGCTGAAGCAAACAGGCGGCAGCCATTAGTTTTTATCGTGGAATACAGAGAATCAAATCAGTCACTGAAAATCATACCATGGGAATGACACATGAAGAAAACCAAAACTGGATGAAAAGGCGAATGTTAACATTCCCCTGTTGAACCAAAAATAGACAATATTAATGAGTGAAAAAATCGTGAACCGAATAGTGTTGCATAAATCTTGTAGCCTTCAAGAGCTAAACTGTCTTATACACATAATCCTCATATGTTTCTGCAAAGTATTGCGGCGGTAAGTAGTTCCCCAAAGCTGACAGCTTCAAAAGCATTTATCATCGACGCCAACCATTCTATTTTTGACGGATACAGTATTGGCTGAAGGCCCTCGGTCAGGTATCCACGCAAGAGCACGTTTCAACCCGTCGTTGAACACATCACTTCCGACGTCTAGCTTGCTTAGAAACTGTACGCAGAGATGAAACTGACTATATCTCACTATTTACTTAAACATAAATGTTGGTCGAAGGAGCACGGAGGTAGGCACGAGCATAATAACCAGAAATTTAGATTACGTGGAGATAGATGAAATAGGGATGTTAAGTAGAATTTTTACTAACATGTCTGGTAATGGTGTCAAAATCCTTTGAATTAATTATTAAATAGTTTCAGAAATATCGGACTTTACCCATGGACAACGGTTAGATGAATTTTCTGTGATATCGAATTTAAAATGGCTTTGGTGACAGAAAATTTGTCATCGATGAGAGAAGTTTTTGGCCAACGGACATTCTGCTAACATCTGCCCAAATAACTTTTAATTCACATCAGGTACAAGGGCTTCTTGTTTATTTTTAACTCAACGTTGTCGATAAACTAGCTTCATTTATCGATCCAATCCCAGAGATCAACAGAAGTTCCAACATTGTTGTTTGCCCTGTCTCAGAAAGGCCTTACACAACTCTAGGCTAAATTACAGATATCTGAAACACTTTTACTCGCTTTATTAATCTCCGAGCCAGTCCAGACAACATCGAACTCATTAAAAAATTCTTCACTCGAGGGATCTCGAATATATTAAAAGTAAACTCGTGATTAATGTTGATAAGAAAACAAATATGGCTAAACGTCCCGAAATTTCAGAAGGCCTGACTATAACATCCCTTATGTATGTATATAAGCATGTGTATCGAAGACCTCTTGTATGCATTTTGTGTGACACCCACACCTTGTTTTATCCCCAATGTAAGATCACCATTCTATTCTATTTACTTACTGTTATAAATCCATGTTACTGTATCCTCTATTCCATCTTAATATCGTCAGCATATGAGGGAATTTAAGACTTAAGGTAACTTAGTAGTTCGTTGATGAACACTAAGAATAGTGCTACAATGATAAAACCTTTCAGTAACCTAATGAGCGTTTTTATTTAAAGAAGTGGAGGAAAGGTAACACCTCGTAATGTCTACATAAAGCAGTACCATAGACACTTCTTCAAGCGCTTACCGACTCTCATTGATTTTAGATTCAGACAAAGAATTTGATGAGCAACCCTGTGAAATAATTAAAACGATGCGGACGCTCCAGGACTGTGCTGTACCGAGTTCCTAGTCTTTTCTATCCAGATGTTATTAGGGCGGTTAAGGAAGTCAGTGAAAATTCTACTTAACATCCCTATTTCATCTATCTCCACGTAATCTAAATTTCTGGTTATTATGCTCGTGCCTACCTCCGTGCTCCTTCGACCAACATTTATGTTTAAGTAAATAGTGAGATATAGTCAGTTTCATCTCTGCGTACAGTTTCTAAGCAAGCTAGACGTCGGAAGTGATGTGTTCAACGACGGGTTGAAACGTGCTCTTGCGTGGATACCTGACCGAGGGCCTTCAGCCAATACTGTATCCGTCAAAAATAGAATGGTTGGCGTCGATGATAAATGCTTTTGAAGCTGTCAGCTTTGGGGAACTACTTACCGCCGCAATACTTTGCAGAAACATATGAGGATTATGTGTATAAGACATTTTAGCTCTTAAAAATGGCAAGATCTAGGTGTCAAAATGCGGATTTGTGTGCTATAAAAGCTGAAATAAAGCTTAATTACTTAGTTCCTGAAGATATTCTTAAAATTTTAACAGTATACACTATGGAGGGCTTTCTCACATGGCGGCAAGTTGACGCGCGCATTTCATTCAAGGTTGAGATAAAGGTTGGGAACTTTGTCTGGTAAGTCTGTACCTATTTTATTTATCAAGAGTTACGGAATGATCTTGGTAATAAACAGTATGGCATCGTCTTAGCTGTGCCATTATTGACATCAGAATAGTATCAACAATGTAATTTTGTCCAGCATCTCTGGAGCATCACCCGCGCATTAATAGCAGATTAGATCTGATTAGTACCATTGAAGTCCATTTTAGTATAGAAGGATTGTTGGTTTCACATTTGCTTCGATCACTTTTCAGTTTCCATCGAGTCTTGAAGCAATGTAATCTAGCAGTTCTTTGAGACTAGATGATCCTAGCTTTTTTTTCAACCTAATAAAGAAAACATCTCATGTTCTCTATCAAAGCTTCCAAGTTAGAAAGATTTCTGGCTATATGTATCTTGTGGTTTTTTCTCTATGCCAAGTTCAGAAAGTGTGAATTCCAACACATTTTGACTAATCAGATTTTAGCAAGTCGATTTGAATAGGTAAATCGTCAAGTAATTTTCATACCTCCAACCAGCCTTCAATCTTAATACTATCAAGCGACTAATAGTTTCATTATTCAGGTTCAGAAGGATTTTGTTTCCAGTTGAATCACTGTAATTTGTGTGTTGAGAAACATAACGATAAAATCTACTCAGGATTTATCATGAATATGGATTATTCTTAGTTACTACAACATTGTATCTAGCCAGAAGTCAGATGGGTTGATTTACTCGAGATAATACTCTTGTATTCGACTCGGCATTTATTTTTAAAGTACCTTTAAACCACTGAGTGCTTGTACTCAGTATGTTGGGATTGTACATCTTGTTTCTTAACGGTAATATTCGACAGTTTCATTTTAAGGTTATTACATAGACTTACAAGCAACTGATGTTCGTTACCCATAATTTCTTGGACCTGATCCTCTGTGAACAATTTTTCCTTGTTCTGCACAAGACATATCAGTAGCTCTGGTTGTTATTCGTGATAAGCAGTGTTTGTGGTGTATAGCTACTTAACTTAGTAAACGGGAAAGTAACTTATTATTAATACATGACTAATTAGTCCCTGGTTAGATTTCACTTTCCTAATTATTTGTATTACTACGTACCCTCATTCACTTAGTTACCAGTTACGCAGACTTGTTGAAGTTGTGGGTTAGTAAAATGTATTACAACTTCAGAAAAATCAACTCGCTGAAGTTTGTTTCAGTATATACACAGTGCTACGTTGTTTCCAACTTTATCCCTGTAGTAAACTTTTGACTTTGGGCATCTGATATCGGTGTTATCAAAACAGTGAACTATAAATTTCTGTTGAAATTATAAAAATTGACTGATTCATCACATTGTATGTAAAATGGGATAACTTTCCCACAATAGACCCATGAAGAGCAGACGTTCAGGAAATATGGGTCTAAGACTTGCTTGTTTTGACTAATTGTCAACCCTACACCAATTGATGGAACACAGATACCGTACAAAAGTATTTAGAATAAATTTTCCTACCAAAATTTAAATTTTTGTTCCAGCATTGGTGTACATCAATATTCAATATGACTGCATAGAGTAGTCCTACTAGACTTAAATCATCTGGCCTTAGGTATAAACCTCGCCCCACTGAATTCAAGTTAATCAGACGGTTAGTATCACTAACCTTCACAGGAACTCACCTTCTCTTGGGTGAACATCAACTTGTTGAATGACTTACGTTGAATTACTATTTAGCTAAGCTCATCAACCACTTTAATTATCCAGAGTCACGGTTGGATAGTTCAACAAAATCTTGACACGGTTAAAAACACTCATTCGGATTTCGCCAACCCATGTCTATCGTCACCCAAACAAATTATCCGTCTACTTATCAACTAAAGAGTATGCTGCGTGGCAGTGCACCAAGTATTTATAGCTATAAAACATGGTTTAAGGAGATTTATAACTTCGATATATCCCTAGTATTGTATTACAGTTACCTTCGAATCATTTCTCATGTATGGTGAAGCCATCAAGTCACTAGCGTAAAGCTACGAATATAGTAACCTATGGTTCAAATGAGGCTGTGGGTAGCTATGCCAGGAGAAGGTCAATTTGTGAAGCCGTCGAATGTTGGTCTGGGTTCTGTCGAGACACATCTTGCTTTATTTGGGTATTCTAGATAGTCGTAATCTGATGCTAACGAGTTTGGATGATGTGGCTCAAAGTTGATTAGGCTATGACGAATTTATATATGCTAACTATTGAGCTTAGTATTATTCCATACTTTTCATAAGTTCCTTCTTACTCTCCAATCTTAGTTTCTACTATTTGATAACTTTACTGAAACTCCTTAGTCTTTCACCTTGTTATTCTGTCAGCTTGGAGTGATGCACATTTATTTCGTCCTATGCTATTTACGACCGACGGGCCTTTTTGCAGTATGCCAGACAAAACCAATTCATAACATCTTTGTAGCAACGAAACGTTTTACTCTTTATTTACATTGGATTATCTTGTTTTTCTTATGATTTGTTCAACTGGAATCAGTCCTGTTTATTGTCTTAAGAACAGATTACACAATCTTGAGGTGAAACTTTCCCTCTGTGTTAATATAAACAGGAACTACGTAAGACATTTTTGACGTTCCATTTTTATGAGCTGAATGGTTCGACGTATAGCAGCACGCTGAAAACAACCCTAAATCTAAGTCCTTAACTCAAATGAATCTTAATCCTATATTGCTCTGATTGTCAGACATTATTCCAGACTCGACTAATGACCATCTCAAAGGAATTCTCTGCTTCACTTTAATACTTTATTACAGATTTTGAGTTGGACCGTTACACAGCTCACAAGTTGTACTTATCCATCAATTATTGTTGATTTATCAGTCAGTTTTAGGTGTATAGGAAACAAACCCAAGAATCTCTATAAAATGATGTCCCTGAGTGTTGATCATATATCATCTTGCTACCTTCAATTTTGGTTGTCAGCAGATGAGATGACTCGTGTTTAGCGAAGCCAGTGGTTGTACTTTCCTTAGAAAGTGGTAAGAGATGACAATAGGTCAGAGGCAAAGTTCCGGTGATTTTCACTTTGCAATAACATTTCGTGAACATTAGTATGTGGATTTGGTCCTGTCTCGAAGGTTGCACTAATGTTCTAGCTTATAAATATTACTATAAACCCAATTTGGTGATGATAGGTTTGTAAATTCACCTCCACTAAAATCCTGTAAAAATAGTTCATGTTGCCTTACGTTGAAAATCTTTTTTCGTGTTATTGTTTGTTCTCACAGAGATGGAGATCCAGGCAATCCACCAAAATTTACACTGGGAACCTAATAACATACAGAATGCCAATTATACTTCGGATGAGGATGAATTCGAAAGTGGAAACAGTACAGCAAAACTGTACGAACGATCGCGTATTAAAGCACTTGCAGGTTAGTTTTTGTGATAGTTTAATTCCAAGTATCATTATAGACGAACGTGAGGTTGTTCAGAAAAAGACATTCACAAAATGGGTGAACTCCCACCTTTCGGTTGTGTCTTGCAACATCGAAGATCTATACCTAGATCTAAGGGACGGGAAAATGCTCCTAAAACTCTTAGAGATATTATCTGGTGAACGTCTTCCTCGACCCACAAGGGGAAAAATGCGAATCCATTGTTTAGAGAATGTTGACAAGTCCTTAAATTTCCTGTGTGATCAGCATGTTCACCTAGAAAATGTGGGTGCCCACGATATCGTAGACGGAAATTCACGATTAACACTTGGACTTATTTGGACAATTATTTTGCGTTTCCAAATCCAAGATATAATTGTTGAAGAATATCAGACAAGTGAAACCCGATGCGCTAAAGACGCTTTGTTATTGTGGTGCCAAATGAAAACTGCAGGTTATCCCAATGTAAATGTTCGGAACTTTACGACAAGTTGGCGTGATGGTTTAGCTTTTAATGCTTTAATTCATAAACACCGACCTGATCTAATTGAATACTCCAAACTGTCTAAATCAGAGCCAATTAAAAACCTGACTACCGCCTTCAGTGTTGCCGAAGAAAAATTAAATCTTCATCCTCTTTTAGAACCATCTGACGTGGCTGTTGAACAACCAGATGAAAAGTCTATTATTACCTATGTTGTTACATATTATCACTACTTTAACAAAATGAAAGCTGATACTGTACATTCGAAAAGGATTGGTAAGGTCGTCAACCAGGCCATTGAAACTGATGACATGATCAATCAATATGAACAATTAACTTCTGATCTTCTTGACTGGATAAAGAAAACCATAAAGCTTTTAGACGACCGTACATTCGCCAATTCACTTTCGGGTGTTCAACACCAGTTAGCTGGCTTCAACACTTACCGAACCGTCGAAAAACCTCCCAAGTTCAGAGAAAAAGGGGGTCTTGAAGTTTTACTTTTCACTATTCGCAGTAAAATGCGTGCCAACAATCAAAGACAATATAATCCACCCGAAGGAAAAATGATAGCAGATATAAATCGTGCCTGGGAAATGCTTGAAAGAGCTGAACATGCACGGGAATTAGCTGTACGAGATGAACTTATACGTCAGGAGAAGTTGGAACAACTTGCCTCTCGTTTCGACCGTAAAGCTGGAATGCGAGAAACTTGGCTTACAGATAATCAACGACTCGTTTTACAAGAGTTCTTTGGTGATAACCTTGCTGCTGTTGAAGCTGCAACAAAGAAGCATGAGGCCATAGAAACAGATATATATGCATATGAAGAGCGTGTAAATGCTATGGTTAATGTTGCAGAGGAGCTGAAGAGAGAAAATTATCATGCTCATGAAAATATCCAGTTGCGGAGGGATAAAGTACTTGCTATGTGGCGTAATCTATTGGACTCACTTAGCATTAGACGCCAGCATCTAGAACTAAGTTTACAGTTACAACATATCTTCCAAGAAATGACCTATTTGATGGATTGGATCGAAGAAATAAAGAGCCGTCTTAAGTCGCAGGATTATGGTAAACATTTGATGGGTGTTGAGGACCTCTTGCAAAAGCATAATTTATTGGAAGCTGACATTCGTGTCCTCGGCGGTAGAATGAATCAGGTTGTTGACCAGGCCACCCCATTTATTGTTGGGTCATTTACGCCGGATATGGGTGCATACAAACCAATTGAACCCGAAATAGTTCAGGAGCGTACTGAAAAATTACGTGCGGCGTATGATGATTTACATGACTTGGCGGAGGCTCGTCTTCGTGGTCTTCGGGATTCACGGGAAATGTGGCAATTTTTCTGGGATATGGAGGATGAAAAGGAATGGATCAAAGAAAAAAGCCAGCTTATGTCCAGTCCAGACTTGGGTCATGATCTAAGTTCAGTAAGTCGACTTTTACGTAAACATAAAGCTCTTGAAGAAGAGTGTCAAATGCATCGAGCTGTTTTAGAAGATGCATTGAAGCATGGTGAACAACTTATTACTGATGGAAATCAAGGTGGTGAGCAAATATCCCAGCGTATCGTTGAAATGAATCAATTATGGGGTCAATTAGTTGACTTGATAACAGAGCGTAAACAACGCCTAATTGAGTCACAGGATTTCTTCCAACTAATGGCAGACTGTGATGATGCAGATGTATGGTTGACTGACCAACAACGCATTGTTAGCAACGAAGATGTAGGTCTTAAACAAGCCACAACAGTGTCTTTACTGAAAAACAACCAGGAAGTTATGGATAATCTTCAAAACTACCAAGAAACAATATCTCAACTAAATCAAGATGCATCACGAGTTTCTGATTATCCAGACAGTGATGCCACAGCTATAGCACATCGTTTAGATGCGGTCGATCAACATTATGCTTTAGTAAAAGAATTATGTAGATTACGGCATAAACGTTTAAATGATGCTCTTTCGATGTATAAACTGTTTGATGACTCAGATACCGTACGTACATGGATAACTGAAAAAGAAAAACTTTTGACGACATTAGTTCCAAGTGACGAAATTGAAGAATTGGAGGTTATTCGACATCGGTTCGAATGTTTCGAAAAAGAAATGGCTGGAAACGCCAAAAAGGTTGGTAGTGTAAATCTACTTTCAGAAGAAATGTTAGATAAAGCTCATCCAGACGCTGAAAAGATATTAAGACATCAAGATGAACTTAACGCATCATGGAATGAGTTAGCCGACCTTGTTGACAAACAAAAAAGACAATTAGATTTATCTTACCAGTATAATCAATTTTTAATCGAAAGTTCAGAAACAGCGAATTGGATAAAAGATAAAGCAAAGTTAATCGAATCAACCGATGAGCTAGATAATAACTTGGAGGGTATTATGCAGCTTCAGCGTAGACTTGGTGGATTACAACGCGATTTAAATGCTATTGAGGCTAAGGTTAAGCACTTGGATGAACAAGCCCAAGAACTTACTGAAGCAAAACCAGAAACTCAAGCTGTAAGTTATAGATTACGTAATATGCTGATTTCTTTAGGTTGTTATAGCTGAAAAAGAGAAGATTCATGACTTATGGAATGAACTGAAAGAGATCGTAAAAGAAAGAGATGATCGACTTAATGATTCAAGCGAATTGCAACGTTTCTTACAAGATTTAGATCATTTCCAAATCTGGCTTCGTCGCACACAAATCACTGTAGCTTCTGAAGAGGTTCCAAATAATTTAGAGGTTAGTTAAGGTGTCTTATTTCTAACTTTACATTTTTAGGAGGCGGAGACCCTTTTAGACCAACATGAACAATTAAAAGCTGAAATCGATGGATATGAAAATGACTTTCATCGGCTTATGGATTTCGGCAGACGTGTGACTGAAGTTCAGACAGATGCCCAATACATGTTTTTGGCCCAGAGGTTAGACGGTATCGAAGAAAATTGGGAAGCTTTACGAAGAATGTATGAAAACCGCACCGCAGCATTACAAGAAGGTGTCGAAGCCCAAGTAAGCTCAAGTCATGTTATGTTCTAATTATATTAGACATTCTTTAGAGATGCTTTACAAGCGGAGGTCCTTCTAGCAAAAATGGAGAAGGTTGTTTCCAAGGAAGAAGCTCCTGTAAGTTAATCTATATTTCCCATGCCTGTCTACTTTTCTCAATTCTTTACAATATATTTTCCGATCCATTCTCAGAGCTGTGCATTTGTAACTGCATTTCGAAATTCCCAAAAGAATAACCACAAATGCACATGCAAAGTATTATCTCAATCCAGTTAATAATAATAGCTCATTTGCTACATATTCTAGCCCATTGTAATAAATAAAGTAATAAAATAGAACTAGAAAAAACGTCTCACAAAGTTTAGTTGTTTATTTCGGATTGTGCATTCACATCATCATTACAATAATGTTTACGCAGAATATTCTAAGCTTTTCTTTTCAATGATTTAGTCTTATCCACCATTACTTACTTACGCCTGTTACTCCCAATAGAGCATAGGTCGCCGACCAGCATTCTCCAACCCACTCTGTCCTGGGCCTTCTTTTCTAGTTCCATCCAATTATTGTCCATTTTTCTCATGTCTATCTCCATTTCTCGGCGTAATGTGTTCTTTGGTCTTCCTCTTTTCCTTTGGCCTTGAGGATTCCATGTGAGGGCTTGTCTTGTGACACAGTTGGGTGCTTTCCTCAATGTGTGTCCTATCCACTTCCAGCGCTTCTTCCTGATTTCTTCCTCCGCTGGGATCTGGTTTGTTCTCTCCCACAGTAGGTTGTTGCTAATAGTGTGCGGCCAACGGATCCGAAGCATTTTGCGTAGACAACTGTTAATAAACGCTTGTATCTGCTAGATGATGGCTTTCGTAATTATCCGAGTTTCCGCCCCATACAGTAGAACTGTCTTGACATTTGTATTGAAAATCCTAACCTTGGTGTTGGTTGAAAGTTGCTTTGAGTTCCAGATGTTCCTCAGTTGTAAATATGCTGCTCTTGCTTTGCCGATCCGCGCCTTCACATCTGCATCAGATCTACCCTGTTCATCAATGATGCTGCCCAAATATGCAAAGGTTTTTACATCCTCCAAATCTTCTCCGTCAATTGTGATTAGATTGGTGCATGCTGTGTTGTATCGGAGAATCTTGCTCTTCCCTTTGTGTATATTGAGACCTACTGCTGCTGAGGCTGCTGCCACACTGTTCGTCTTCTCCTGCATTTGCTGTGGCGTTTGGGATAGAAGGGCCAGATCATCTGCGAAGTCTAGATCGTCCAACTGCATCCTACATGTCCATTGTATCCCATGCTTCCCTTCAGATGTTGACGTCTTCATGATCCAGTCGATCACCAGGATAAAGAGGAAGGGTGAGAGTAAGCAACCTTGCCTGACACTAGTCTTCACTTCGAACGACTTTGTCAACTGTCCTCCATGCACGATTTTGCAGTGTAATCCATCATATGAATTCTGTATGATAGTGACTATCTTCTGAGGCACGCCGTAGTGTCTAAGAAGTTTCCATAGTGTTGTTCTGTCTACGCTATCAAATGCCTTTTCGTAGTTAATGAAGTTGATGTAGAGTGATGAATTCCATTCAATTGATTGTTCCACAATGATCCGTAGAGTTGCGATTTGGTCCGTACACGATCTATCCTTACGGAATCCTGCCTGTTGGTCACGAAGTTGGACGTCTACGCAGTCCTTCATCCTGTTTAACAATACCCTGTTGAAGACTTTTCCCGGTATAGAGAGAAGAGTGATGCCCGTGTAGTTATCACACTTGCTGAGATCGCCTTTCTGTGGTATTTTGATCAGAAGTCTTTCTTTCCAGTCTGTTGGTACTTGTTCCTCATCCCAAATCTTATTGAAGAGATTGTGGAGTATCGTTGCAGTTGCCGCTACGTCTGCTCTTATTGCCTCTGCTGGAATGTTGTCTGGTCCTGCTGCTTTGCCACTCTCGATTTGTCTGATGGCCATGCTGATTTCTTCAATTGTTGGTGGGCCAACATTGATTAGGAGGTCCGTGGGTGCTGCTTCTATATTGGGTGGGTTCAGTGGAACTGGTCGATTCAAGAGTTCTTTGAAGTGTTCTACCCACCTGTTTTGTTGCTCTTCAATGTTGATGATTACCTCACCTTCCTTGCTTTTCGCTGGTCGTTCTGGTTTGCGGCGATTTCCAGAGAGTTTCTTTGTCGTGTCATACAGTTGTCTCATGTTCCCTTCTTTTGCAGCCTTTTCCGCCGTCGTTGCTAAATCTTCCACATATTTACGTTTGTCGGTTCTGATGCTCCTCTTCACTTGTTTGTTTACTTCTGTGTATTCAGCTTGTGCCTTGGCTTTTTCTGCTCTTGTTCGACCGATATTGATTGCTGCTTTCTTGTTCCTCCTTTCTTGAATCTTATCCAGTGTATCAACAGTGATCCACTACTTGTAATGGTGCTTCTTGTGACCCAGGACCTCATGACATGTTGAAGTGATTGCCTCTTTAATCCCCTTCCAGTTGCTCTCCACAGTAGTTCCTTCTCCATTGAGTAGATCATGAAAGGCCTGGAACTTGTTGCTGAGGACTATCTTGAATTTGTTGCGTTTGTTAGTATCCTGAAGAATGGCCGTATTGAACTTTTGTGATGTTGTCCGCCCCATTGTCCAATGCTTCTTGAGTTTCAATTTCATCTTAGCGACCAGCAATTGATGATCTGATGTTATATCAGCTCCTCTCTTGGTTCTCACGTCCTCTATAGTCCTCCTGAACGTTTTGTTGATGCAGGATATGGTCGATTTGGTTTTGCGTGGTGTGATCCGGTGAAGTCCATGTGGTTTTGTGTATGCGTTTATGTGGGAATATGGTGCCGCCTATGACCAGTTTATTGAAGGCACATAGGTTTGCAAATCTCTCACCATTTTCGTTCCTTTCTCCCCACCATATAATACGGTAATTACTCTGGGACCTGGCTGTTGTTATACTATTTATCTATAACTTCATCTCAAATAAGAGTGATTCAGAGTTCTATCTAAATAACCGTTTGTTTTCACTTGACTAGATCAATTTGGAGATGGCACAAGAAAATCTTCGTAATTTTGAAACCTTCCGAACGTCATTGGTGCCAACCGATGAAAAAATTGACAATGTGTTGAATGATGGTGCGAAATTGGTTGGTCGTGGAATTTTCCCTACTGAAAAGATTCAAAATAAATGTGAACAACTTAAACAACGGTAAGTTTATACCTCTAGACCCATATCTATAAAGTATTCTTATCGGATTTTCGTGTGACATACTATTTTTATCCTGTTCGATTATCTCTATTTAGACGAGACTCTCTAAAGAGGCGAGCAGATGAACATGGTCAAAAACTCAAAGAACAGTTACATCTACAAGAATTTTGTCAGGACGTTGACGATGTAAGTCATAATATATTTTACCAAGTGTATTCGACATTTTTAGGCTGAAGAATGGCTTGCTGAGAAAGCTATGGCTATTACAGAGCAACCGGCACCTATTGCTCGAAGCATTGCTGCATTATATGGACGATTTAAGGCGTTTGAAGGCGAACTTGATGCCAACAAGGAGAAAATTGCCAAAGTTATTGAAGTATGTCTTTTATATCTTAATTACTCATAGATATTTTTCGTAAATCAAATAGCGCACAATAGCTCATGTTTCTAGTTTTCGGAAAAACTATTATTAATCGAAACTTAAATATCTAATGAGTTGTGGTTGTTCGATTGGGTCACAATCATATTACCGAGTTATCTGGACGTGTTCTAACTGCACACACGCTCTATATTTGTATATAGAAATAAAACTACAAGGTTTATTTACAGTGAAATTGTTGACCTTATCAGCTATTAAATCAAAATTATCACTAAACATTTTCCTAACGTTATAAATATTGGGTTATTCTGTTCTAGGAGGGAGAAGAGCTTATTGTAGCCCATCCTATGCTTCAAGTCCAAGTCGAACCGAAAATATCTGCCTTACGTAAGCAGTGGGAAGACCTTAACACCACTACAGCTGATAAGAGCGCGAAAATGGCAGATGCTAACAGAGGTAAGTGATCACCTCGAGAGTAGTTAGCATTATTATTGCTTTTATTATCATTATTCTACCGTAAATATTTTTTAAATGGTTAAAACATTTTTATTTCTATAGAAACATTATTCGATGAAACTGCTAAGTCTATGCTTACATGGATTACTGAAGTTAGCTCACAAATAGTTACTACTACAGAAGAAGTTACTGAAGAAATCGGTCTCGTTGAAATCAATGAACATCTCAAAGATCAAGAACGCAAGGATCAAGAATTGGCTGCCAAACGCCGAATGCTTCAAGATATGGCGGTAAGTTACATTTTCTGTATTCCACAACGAATTTTATCTTTCTAATCCTTATATTCATTTATTCATATCTGATTGATTAGAATTTTGTAATGAGAATTGGCTTCGTACTAATAGTATAGTGACTACATTCTCATTTATAATTATTGTCCATTCATTGTTCATCACTAGTATAAAGTCAGGGTGGTTTTCATTAATTTAAACACTATCATTATTAAATTTTACTATATATTGGTACAGTAACTATCAAAAATGGTTAGTCTGATAGGATAAATCTTTCTGTCTTTATACCACATTCCGATAACTGCTAAATAATTGTCACGTACATACTCCTCTCGCAAATATTCTACTGTAAGCATTTTTTTTGTACATGAAAACATATTTTTGACGAGTTTAAGTTTTTTGACCAACTATTCCAAAGTTAATTGTCATGTAATACGAAACAGTTTGTCTGAAACAGTTTATGTTAATCACGGGAACTACAAAGTAACCTAAAACTCGGAGCAGAAACACCTTCCTTCCCAATTCCCATACTTCGAAAAACGCAAAGAAACATTCACGAAGAAGTAGATATGTTGATCTTTGTAACGAAACCTTCATTTTTTTAAGTGACTAAAATAAATCTGTATTCCCAATGAATACTAGTAATAAAAACTGTAGGTGAATGATATGTTATTGAATGTTGCCGTAACAGTATAAATAAACTTAGTAGCCATATACACGTATTTTTCTTGTACTATGAACAATCTTTGGATACACAATCGACAATGGGTGAAGTCCGAATCAGAAACCCAATCTATTCCAAACCTGAATTATTTATCTGTATATTTGATCCCGTTATTGGGAGTCAAGCGTTTGAACCATCAAGTCTTAATATTCACATGGGAATTATCTAAATAACAATTTCAACTAAAATATATATCTCATATTTTAACATGTGGCTTACAATGATTTATATACTTTTGTATTTCATTTTTAGACTCATGCAGAAAAACTCAAAGAACAATATCCTGAACGTCGTGAAGAGTTTGAACAAGTTCACCAGGAAGTGCGTATTCGTCTTACTGAATTAGAAGCTCCTCTAGCTGATCGCCGTGATCGCCTTGTTAAACAAAAGAGAGTACGTCAATTCTTACGAGATATTGAAGACGAGAAGGACTGGATTAAAGAAAAGTTGGCACTTATTGAAGACTCATGCAAGCTTGGAAGTTCATTACTTGCCACACAACAACTTATAAGACGTCATCGCATGCTGTCTAACGAAGTAGATAATCACCGTCCACGTATTGATGCCGTTTGTCACGTAAGATATTAATTTTCTTTATTAGTTGTTAATTGTTTTTATCTCTGGTACTTCAGTTCATTGATTATCGAGTTGATTACTATACTTGCATTGTATTCTATTATGCTGTGGAAACCCGATTAACTGGAACAACATAGAAGTAACCGTAATAGTATACAATTTTTATTTGTTACACACTAAGAAGATACAGTAAAAGAAGTTCGAAAAGCTACTTAACTAGAAGATTGAAGGGATAATCAAATGTATATCAAACAATAAGCTATCAAAGATTTCATATTAAAATAAAAACCAAGGAAACAACAACCATTACACTTTTCGTTGTTAGCTTATATTCAGTTATATTACCAGGTCCATAAATCTCATTAGTTGGTCAATAACATTCAAATTTTCTGCATATTTATACTAAGCTTATGTCAACCAGAAGTTGCCAATGGTTATAATTGTTATTTGAGGATTCTAAACTGGCGATTAGGTTTTAAAAATTGGAAATACAAAAAAACTGCATTATAAAGAATATCTGTGCTAACTTCTAAAAATAGATTAAGGGAAGTATCATTTGTCGTGTACGACCTTCTTAAAGAGGGTCTCAAGTAGTGAATTGCTATACAATTTAATTTTGATACGTTTTGTGTCCATCTCTAATATTACAGCTTATGTCATAATAAAGTCATGTATTAATTTCTAAGATCTATTCCTTGATAAAATGAACATTTATCGTTTCATAATTCTTAATTTATTTTCAATATCAATTGGTACTCGTTGAAAACTTGTTTCATACTAACCCTTCATGTAAATTCTATTTTATTTTTTACCATCAGGAAGGCGAACAAATGATACTTGAAGGTCATCCACGAAGCGATCGATTCCGTGAAGCCATAGATGAATTATGGGTGTTATGGGAACAATTACAACATGTAGTAGGAGAAAGACAAGAACAATTAACACGAAATGAAGTTGCACAGCAGTATCTGTTCGATGCAAGCGAAGCTGAAGCTTGGATGGGAGAGCAAGAACTTTACTTAATGGGTGATGAACGTGCAAAGGTCAGTTTTTTTATTCCTCATTTACTTGTAGTTTTATGAGCACCAAATCCCCATTACTGTTATGTTTTTTGAAGTACTGTTTTTTATTTATTTAATCAGGTTATAATCTTTCAATTACCTCTTATCTTTTGATATTTTTACAGGATGAACAAGGCGCTAATAACGCAATTAAAAAGCATGAACAACTACAAAAAACTGTAGAGAACTATGCCACAGAAATCCGTGGATTAGGTGAACGATGCCAGGCTTTATTGGAAGCCAATCATCCTGAGTCTGAAGCTGTTGTCGCTAAACAGGCACGCATTGACAAGATGTATGCGGGTTTACGTGACCTATGTAGTGAACGCCGGGCAAGGCTTGATGAGATTCTGAAGTTGTATCATCTCTTACGAGATATTTTAGATCTTGAGGTGAGTTCTTTTTTCCTTCCTATCGTTCTTGACAATTCTGTCAATATACTTTATCTTTTGATAATCAGGTCTAATAAAATCATTACGCAGGTCCCTTCTATCACAGTTAGTCGATAATGATCGTGTAGTAGATAAAACCAAGGTATTCAGAGTGATATACCACCAAGTTTTTTTAATAGGACTTTATCTCGTTTCATACGTGTCACTGGAAGCTATGGGGATTCAAGCTAACAACCTTAGTCTCTGTGTTCAATAGAAATGTGTAGCACTCTTGTCCTTCCGTCGGTCAAATAACACTTGATAAACAATCTTACCAATTATTCACATTCTCTATATTTCTTTATCCTTTCGTATTTCTTCTTCGTTACATACATTCATACACACTATGCGATTCCTATGTCGTGTTCTACTAATCTTATTTATTTTTCTCAATTAGTACGTTCCGTAATCGAACTGGTTTCAATAGTTGTGTGATATATTTGCCTCCATAAAGTTTTATATGTCGGTACTTAGATGACTGATTATTATTAACATTATTCTAGGCTTGGATTGCAGAACGTATCTTGGTAGCAAGTAGTCATGAAGTTGGTGCAGATTACGAACATTGTTGTTTACTTCGAGAACGTTTCGCCGAATTTTCTCGTGAAACAAATGAACTTGGAAAATATCGTATTAGTGCAGCGAATGAATTATGTAACGCCCTTATTGGTCAGGGTCACAGCGAAGCTGCTGAAATCGCCAGTTGGAAGGATCGAATTAATGAAGCATGGGCTGATCTACTGGAGCTCATTGATACACGTATTCAACTTTTGAAAACTGCATGGGATCTACATAAATTTTTGGCAGATTGCCAAGTAAGATTGTGTTTTTCTAAAAATAGTTTACTCTCATTTACAACTCGTAGACAGTTATCGCCTAAATCACTTTTCTGATCCTACAAGCATTGTATACTTCTAGAAAAGTGGAATTTACTAAATACCCTGTTTTTTTTCTGACATTAGTAAATTATATTTTGAAAGATTTGATTTCTCTCATAAAGTAATCACGTAACTATACTTTATTCTTTCTTCACATTTGCAAAAAAAGAATATTGCTGTTAAATATGGTATAATCTTGTTTAAGTTGTCAACCATTTCATTTTCTAACAAGTCACATTGTAGCGTTTATTCTGGAATCTGATATGTTTTTCATTCATTTAGTATGAAGTTACTGCTACGATGATTTACTTACTGCTGATGAATTATTCATGTGGATCATATAGTCCATATTGGCGAGACTATAATTTATGGACTTAGGATAAGAGGTCTTGGATTTTGGCGCGAAATTCACTCACCCATTTGTCTAAATAGTGTTTTTCATTTTGGCTGATGTCAGTTCGTGATGAAGAACCCTAATCTAATCCTTAACCTTAACCATCAACTATAAATCATAATCCTTACTCTTCACACAGGTTTATAACCACCCTCACTTAGCCCTAGTAAGTAGTTGGATATTTTCAAGGTCAGTTTGGAGTCTCAAAGGTCATCCGTAAATTATAGTCCCACCGTCCAAATTTTACCTATTCAAATATCAGTCTGCAATAAAGACACTAAGCTTATGATCTCAACTTTATAACGTGTTTATTAGTTAATCTAGAATTTACTTCTCTCACAGATATATGTACATTAATTAGAGGTTATAATTCAAGGGTTGGTCTACCGATTACAGATTTTCAGCATTCCATTGATGTATATGTTTCTGTGGTTCATAATAGGTATTAGTGAAATTTCGGCTGTAATTCTCTTTTACTCGACAAAAGTGAGAGAAACTTCCTAAACTGGAAGGATTCTTTCTGGTTGTATTTTTCCTAACTGAACTGCTTTTCCCACTTTTCGCTACTTCTACTCACTTATTTTAATTCACCTTTTTCTTCGTTTCATTATTCTCATCTTCCTTTATCTTTCCACAACCGTCTTATGTGGTGAATATCTATTTGGATTCCCCTTTGATCCAATATTTCTGTGTTAAAAGCCAAGTAAACTTCAAAGATGCTTATTGAATTTCCATAAATTATATTTTGGTTTCAGTTACGAACTAGCATTTATCCTCAGGATCTAAAAAAATATACGCATAAAAAATAAACAGTACAAACGTGTAATGTAATGCTTAATTTAAGAGTGCGAGATGTGTTTCTCTGGATAACTAGAGTTCTATAGCTCCACATAAATTTTGCTTAATCCAGTATTAAAGCTCAGTCAATAATAATCAATAATCAATTTCACCCTGCGTTATACACCTTATTTTTTCCTTGTATTTATTTTCATTTGAAAACTGTATTTAGCGAAGCTGCTAACCGTTTCTTGTCTTTACATATTCCTTGGATTTATTTCTTGCTATCTTTCGTGAATACTTTACATATTATAATTGATATGTTAAGCATCAGTTTTTCAAAAAAGGGGATAATTTGTCATTATTTTTTATAGGATGTTCTCGATCGTATTGTCGACAAAGTCAGCAGTATTCCAGAAGAAGTTGGACGTGATGCTAAAGCTGTCGCTGCACTTCAACGCAAACACAATACATTTGAATGTGAACTGGCACGTCTTGGATCACGAGTAAGTAGACCTGTTTTTGCGTTTGTTATTTCTCCATTCTTCACAAGAGTGATGCATTTCATTACGTAAATACACCGATAGAGATGTGGTTATGATTACGAGATCTTCAAATGAGCATTTCCCACGAATTAGTCGACTAAATTTTCTGTAGGTCTAACACTATTCCTTTTTCTTATAGATAATTGTTTGGTTATCTTTCACAGTAAATATCACATCAGTACAATGATTAACAAGCATCAATTATGTTATTTACTATTTTCGTAATACTATGAGTAGATATGTCGAGAAATACAATATTCTTGAAATTAACCTTTAAATCGTAGTTGTTGTGATGCGATTTTTGTTGTTATTAGTAATTTGATTGGACAATCATGAACACCGGTACATGAACATTAAATAGTCGAGTAAAAATCACAAATTATTTTCTTTGGAACTTCACAATTATCCTCTAACACTGCTGGTCATATATGAATGAGGCCCTATCATAAAATCACAAATCAAATTATTGTGGTCCTACAGCTTGTACTATTTACAAAGTTAATATCAAAATATTTCTAAACTGTAAAACAATCTTATCTAAAAGTGACCCAATTATCACTAACAAGAGGAAATGATTTCCTGTCTGATCTACCTTCTGACATTTGAACCAAGTTCTATTTTCACTATTTATAACAATTAATTGACTATGGCCCAATATCATGAGGTTCAACTTTAAAATTTTCTCAGACATCATAATGATCAAGTTTTAAATAGCTTTTACAATTACTGTATTTATGTTGACGGTTTCGCATTCTAATATGAATATCACTGTCGTAGCTGAAACACAACTTGTGTGTAATACAGAAATGTCTTCATTCAATATTTAATAATATCATCCTTTATATTCTCCTATAGGTGGAAGGGATCGTAGAAGCGGCTAATAGCTTACTACCGTCTTACGCCGCAGATAAAGAGCGTCTTATATGTGACCGCCGGGACGAAGTTATTCATGCATGGCGACAACTACAATGTGCTGCGGAACAACGTAAAGCACGCTTACATGATGCCTCTGATGTCCATCGTTTCTTCTCTATGGTACGTGAACTTCGTTTGTGGATGGATACTATTCGTATGGAGATGACTACTAAAGAAAAGCCAAGGTTAGTTGTAAATTTCCTATCGTCTAACGTATTTTATTCGTCACTGATCATACTTTTGTATATCATACAGCTTTAACTTTCAGTAATTTCGTAATTAACACTGCTGATTAGGTTCTTCAATAATTAGTCGACAATTCTTGCGTATCAGTCAGGTTTTCGTTTTATACTAATCACTATCTGCCTCGTTAGTGTAGGATAAGGAAAGCTTATCTCTTTACTTCTTATTGTATCGACACACAAATTCTTTTCTAGTCACAAACAGGCTAGAGCATAGTAGAAGCGTTCATAGTTTATTAGTAGTTTTAACACGTTAAAAGTCAATGAATAACCTTCTCAGTAGTTTGGCTAGTCAAAATGTATAACTAATATCGTCTGTGTATTTGTTGTAAATGAGTCGTTTAGTTGATTCGAGGAAAAAACAACTGTTGAAATGATCCAATTGATGCTTGTTTCAGCTGGTTCATAGAATTATTCCGGTATGACAGTATATTTTTAACTGTGAACTAAAAGTGGAATGTACTCTTCCTTAATGCAATAGCCGGTTATTTCCTAGATAAAGTATTTGTACAATTGTTTGATTGTTTTATCAGTTTTTTAATGGTGTGCTATATTGTTGTATATATGTGTGTTACATATTCTAGGGATGTATCCGGAGTTGAATTGCTGATGAATAGTCATCGTAGCCTAATGGCTGAAATAGATGCTCGAGAGGAAAACTTCAGCATTTGCCTAAGTTTAGGTCGAACTCTTCTAAATCGTCGACATCCTCAAGAAGAAGAAGTCAGAAAAAAATGCATTCAGGTGATTCACTATCAATATTTAACGATCTTATATACTTTTTCTCGATGCTGTATATTTGTATTTATATTTTATATGACTTTTGTTTGTGTTTGTTTCAGCTGGTAACTGAAAAAATTTTGCTGAATGACCAATGGGCAGAGCGATGGGAAACGTTAAGTCTTCTTATGGAGGTATATGAGTTTGCTCGGGACGCTGAGATAGCAGATACTTGGCTTACGTCACAAGAAGCTTATCTTAATAACACTGATCTGGGTGAAACGTTAGATGAAACCTTAGCATTGTTGAAAAAACATTTTGCATTTGAACGTGCAGCCGCTACACAAGAAGAACGTTTCCGAGAGTTAGAGAAACTTACAACTGTAAGTTCTAGTTATCATTCCCTTCAATAAATGTGTTTACGACATTTTAATCGTTATGCTCTCGTCAATTTTGATATTTGTCACTGGAAGGGTTATAAATTTAGTAAATACTGTTTCGGTTAAGTTACTAAGGGATTATCACCTTTCTCTTATCAAAATTTTTCCAGTTAATATCAATGTGATTTTTTCAATTTTTTTTTCAGCTTGAATTGAAAGCACGTGAAAGAACTCCAGAAACCGAGGCTGCCAGGCAATTGGAAAAAGAAAGGAAAATAGCTGAAGCTGTTAGAGAATTTCAGCCACCTCCACCTCCTGTGTCCATACCTGTACAAACGCCGGTTTCAGAGGCTGATAGGCGGGCTGTGGATATCAGAGATGCTGAACAAGGTAGTAGTCGTCTTCCGACGGTAACCACCCCAAGACATGAACGTGGAAGTTCTGATGTTGGTAAACCTGTTCCTCGTGACTTTGAAGGTGTTTTAACACGTAAACATGAATGGGAAACAGGCACAAAGAAAGCTTCTTCTCGCTCTTGGCATGAGTTGTATTTTGTCCTCTCTGCAACGTCTTTCACACTTTCTGCCTATAAAGAGCAAAAACATGCCAAAGAAAGACCTGGGGATTTATATCGGCATGAACTCCCTGTTAATTTAGTGGGCGCTTCCGCTGCACCTGCGTACAACTACGCCAAACGCTCTTTTGTATTCCGTCTCAAACTTTCGAACGGAGGTGAATCTCTATTTCAAGCACATTCTGAAAAACATATGCATAGCTGGGTTCAAGCTATTAATGCAGTGGCATCAAGTGCAAGTGGGCAACCAATGGAGTCTTCTTCATCTGCTGGGGGACGAGCTGCCACGTTACCTTCTGGAGTTGCTCCTGAGTCTCAAGTAGCTAGTAGCTCTTCTGCTCCCGGGAAGAAAAAGTTTTTCACTTTAGGTCGTAAAAAGTAGTTGATCTTTTATTGAATGTGCTTGTGATACTTTTGTTGAGGTAGTAAAAATAACTTGTGACTATCCCTTGTCACTCACTCACTATCGTAGCTTCTTAATATAGGCTCACAAAGTGCACAAGCAATTAACTTGTCCGTGTTTTCCTTTCGCTTTAAATAAACGCGCGCGCGCATTTTCGTATGATTTTTAAACATCCGCCTCGTTTTTTAAGTCTATTGGTTTCGGAAGTTTTTTTATAAATATGTAAGCGCGTTTATTTTACCTCCGGTTCAAAGGCCAACACATACATACACATATAACTTCTTTAATTAATCACCACGTTGTTGCTGATACTGTTGCTTTTTAAAAAATAATCGGAAGCATAAATTATTCTTGAGATATTTTAATAATAATCCTCAGTTTTAGGATGTTATTATTGTTATTATCGCTATAGTTATTCTATTTTATTTTTTGTAAAGTTATTCAAATAATCACTAAGTTAGTTTATTCATGTATTTGTTCGTTTCTCTGTTTGTTTGTTTCTGATTCATTTTTATTCCATCACTTCAAGCTTACAACATTATACATACATACGATGATACATTTACATTGATTACGAAAAAAAAGTAATGATAATAAGCAGCCAACTTGTTAATTTCCCAATAAATAACAATACATGTGCATTTTCGCTTTTTTCTGTTGTTATATTTCACCCTTTTCTAATAATGAACTGCTTTAAAGAAATTATGATTTCGGTTAGTTTGGTTTTAATTTTTTTTGTGTATTTGTTCGCTTGTTCGTCTAAAAGTAACAACTATTGATCAAATTATGAATTAGTACTACTCATCGTAATAATCAATTAAGTCACTAATAGTCTACATGTTTCCAAATGGTTTTTTTCTCTTTATTCCTCTTCACTGCTTTTTGGGGACTTGGAAAAAAGATTGATGGTAGCCTTTCATTATCGTTTATAATAATTAACTCTGCATGTTAACAATATATTGATATATATATAATACTGTCGACTCTACCAGTAATTAAGAAAATAACAAGTATGAAAGCTCGTCCCTATATTATAATAATAATAATAATAATAATAATAATAATAATAATAATAATAATAATAATAAAAGCGATGATAACCATTTTCATGCTTTCTCTTAGATCCGTTTCTTCTCGTTATTTGTCATTGTTTTATCAACTATACAACTAACTAATTAAGACTTATTCACAAAAAATAAATGCGAATAGTAATTTTCTGATTGTTATATCTGACTTATCTTTGTCAATGTGAACAGATTTACCTTTTTTTACTGAATTTTTTCTGAGTTAACTTACAAGAAGATTTAGTCTAATTAATAAAAAAGAGCAAATTTATATCGTTTGTGTTCAAGTGGCAATAAGTTGATTTACAAATGTCCCTAGTTATCAGTATAGTTTTTGTTAAATATGGTTGAAAGTCAAGTTATATATGATTGTTGTCCTAAAACCCTCTAGTAATTGACACCAATATCCTAGCTACTTGCTAATTTTCTAAAATGTTCCTAGACTCGAGCTTCTAACTAGAGAAAAGTCTCGAAGTAAGAGTAGGAGCTTCACTTCAAGGTCCGTTTATTTATGTTTTCATCGGTAACTGTTAAACTCCGAAAGCATCCTAAATTAAGTAACCGAATCAGTGGTCATCCAGTCAGAATTTAACACATAGTTCATCAATTTTCAAAAAGTCTTCATGGAACATGGTGATTGGAAGAAATGCTTTCAGATTTTTAACGATGTTGGGGCATCTTATTGAAGAATTGTTGTAGGATCCCAACAGTAGTTTCTTGATTCATCTAGTGGAATACATAGTATTGTTTAGCTATTATTTGCAATTTCTCCAAACCATAAACATAATACAAACACCATAGTATAATCAGTGTGTTGGGAGTTGAGTTATTTTATTTTATTTGAACACGTAAATATTTGTACAAAGAGGCGCCGAATATATATGCGCCACACAAGTCAATTGTTTTGTGTGCGGACTATGCCCGGGTGCCCATACCGAAGCAGGTGGTTCTCTTAGGGGACCACGACCTGAATGTCTGATCCACAAAGCAGTGGAGCAACGTAAGGAGATGCGGTTCCATGGCAGCCGGTGACCAACAGTTCATATTCCATTTGTTCCTTTAGGATACTGGAGCCCATGTGCACCATTGGTTCGGAATCAGAGTTTTCCAACTCCCCTAGATGGACACTCCGTCTCCACTAACCCGGTTAAAGCGCCGGACATTCACTTTTCGTCTTCTGAATTTCGTAGACAACAGTAATGTCGCGAGAAGGTTGTGAGTAGGTTTCCCTGTCAGTGGATGTGTATGCGTCGCCATGTGAGATTATTTCGACAGAGAAAGCTGACTCTTCGCACCCTCGGCCGTACCAGGGCACTCCACTCAACTTTAAGTTGAGTGAAATCAAAGTTCATTGATCACGGGCTTTCAAGGTGTTGATTCTCTTGGTCAATATCTTGGACTTTAAAAACAACAAAACATCTCGCTTTAAAATCCCAAACGCTAACGGCGCAGTTGTCCAGTTATTTTAAAGTTAAAATGTAGACTTGGTAATCTTGTATCAAGAATTTCTCCATGTAGCTTCTATGAATGGAAACTTAATTTAATATTTACAAATCCTCAACCTATGGCTAGATTGACTTTTTTAATCATCATCATTATTATTGTATAATCGTATAGGGATTATGGTGTCATAGTCGTTAAATATATTCAGTGTGTTCAATCATTTTGCTTAAATCCTATCATACACAATCTTGGGTGCAGTCAGTCAGCTACAATGTAGGACATATATGCATTGGTCCAAGTTTCCGCGTTTCATTAACACAACAAGATGAAGTTCAGTAAATGTAACTGCAGCAAATACTTGCGTGGACAGCATGATGCGTTTGATTTCCTTCACACATTATGCACATTGAATATCGTACGGAAATTCGTTTTTTAATGTAGTGCAAAAGTAGACACCAAATACGTTTGTATCCCTCTACAATTTATAACGTCATTGATTCCCTAATATGTTTCTTCCTATTACTCTTCAATGGTTGAAAGTAATCAAATGATGAAATCTAATGCTTCTTGAACTATATAAACAGAATTAACAACTCATATAATCAAATGTCCAATATTACTTAGTTTTGAATTGTACTAAACTGATTTTTCTCTCCAATTGTATTGGTTGTTTGCTTATAACTATCCGTCTAAGGGTAATATTACCATATATCTATTCATGAAGTTCTCTCTATTTGAAAACAATACAAATAAACTTAAGTTGATTGACTAATTGCTTGGTTGTGTTACATCAGTATTTTCCCAAAATTACGTGGATAAAAGGCAATCAATGGTTAATGAATTTAGTTTCGAGTTGATCTTCACACTCATTCGTTTTCGACTAGAATTGACCTCTGTTATTTGTGATATCCAGATTAGCTTCACAACCCCTACGATTGTCCACTTGTTGTAAGGGCACTAATTAGCAAAAGGACACTGAATTCACTCCTTTATCGATCAACTGCAACTCAAATGAAGCCATGCTGTTACTATGTTTGCCAGTTGGAACTGAATTAAGACTCAAAACATTAAGACGTTCATACCGGTTGGCTGTGATGCCTAAAACTGTCTGGGGAGTCTGTAAAATCGAAGTTAAGGAACGGCTAGATTGCTATATTGAAAATGCCATATCAAATGTTTTCCAACCACAATTAAAGTAAGTGTATCTTCTTTCACTTAGTCCAAATTATAGTTCCAGCGTTTTATACTGCTTAGAAAATGTAAGAACATCAAAGCTGATTGCCAACACAGTGTAACTATTATTGTAACTTACTGATAATTACGAAAATACCATAGTGTTTTTATTAATAAAGTTTTCATATAAAATTTACTATCCATTAAATTTGATCTTAGTACCTCAGATGTGGTATTTCCCTTTTTTGCGAATAGACATGTACACCAAACATTCCTAGAGTAATACAGGGTTCAAGTTTTGTAGGTTGTTAATAAGTGAATTAACTTGCTACTCTCTATAATCTGGTCTGGCATTGCGAAGTCTGCTGTCAGTATGCCACTTACACTCTAATCAATGGCCCCTGACTTTGACTTAAAAACCCATATATATATATGATCACAATGATTAGACAATATGTGAAGATATTTTTGCTGTATCCATTAATGCTTGACAGTGCTAATATATACCAGTAGAAATTGTAAAATAATTTAAAAGGAGACCACATACAAGGTGAGAGTTTGAAACACCCTCCGTCTTTCCATAAACTTATGTCACTACTTAAATATCTATTTACATTAATTTTTATGGTTAGAAAAGTTTTATTAGGCGAAACATGAACTTGTTCGAAATATGGTGGGAGGGTTTTTGCATAATTTTCAAATGTCCGTTTACGTAATATGTACTACCTAATTTATTTTGTAAGTCGTTGATTACTGCTTTGATATATATATGTATATACGTGCATCGAGTGTTAAATAACCAATATCATTTTTATATGGTTTAACTAAAACCAAATGATATTATGTAACAGTTAATTTTTAAGATTAGATTGAGGTCATGTACCACTATTGATAACTTGAAAGCACTGGACAGCCGTTTCATTCTAGTGTGGTCTCAGTTGAAACTCAACAATCTCCATAACCCTGTATTGACAATTATCATGTGCTCACTAGTGATTAGCTTCTAGGGGTAATTCTCCGAGTTCTAATGAGAAGCCGTGTCCAGTGGAGTTCAACCGTGTTGATTGTGACGCTTTTACCCACCGAAGACGATGGGAGATGGTCACTTAATATCATTTATTGGTTGAATTTAAACATCAACACCTTTGGATCCCGGCTCAGTAGTCTAGAGTTTAAGCATTCGCACGAAATTGAAAGTCCTGAGTGTGGGATCATGGATGAGCGCTGCTGAGGAGCCCCATACTAGGCTCAGTGTTTACAAAAGTGATGATAATCAAAGTTAACTAGATGTCAACTGTAGAAAGTTATTGGCTATGATGGTTGTAGTTCAGAGAGAGGTCTCAGTCAGTCAGTCAGTAACAACGTAGAGGTAGCAAGAGTATAAGCAGTAATCGGGAAGATTAGGGTTTGGAGATGTTATTTAAAGAGTATAATCCAGTGAAATAAATTTGGAAAGAGGAAAAAAAGGGACATGAAGAATTCAGAAGATTAGAATTTGGGAGAACACAGAGAGTGGGTGCACCTGCGCCATTGCAAACGATCTGGAGCCATGTCATTCAGGGTCTCTAACCATCGGTTGCTATCATCCTGCGGTCCCCAACCAGGTAGTCTACACCTACCAACATGACTTAGTTCACTTGTCAGTGACTTCATGGACTTGTGCCATGTTTTGGTTTGGCCGCCCCTAACTTTCTTCCAACCTACTCCTATACCACTGAACATAGCACGTCGAGGCAGTCGGTGGTTGGGCATACGTAACACGTGTCCCAGCCATCTCAACTGATGAAGTCTCACTACGTCATCAATTGATTTGCCATCCTTACCTAGTACCCGTTTCCTAACAACTGCATTACTTACTCGATAGTCCCAGGATATACAAGCAATATTTCGAAGACACCTATGATCAAATACTAGTAACCTACGGATATCCTCTACTCTTACCGGCCATGTTTCACTGCCATAAAGTAGGACGGAACGAACTGCTGCGCAGTAAACACGTCCTTTGGTTGATAGACGGATATCTCGCCTACGCCATAAATGACGCAAGTGGGCAAGAGCTAGTCGAGCCTTCTGCATCCGTGCTGAGATTTCGTCACACACCAAACCACAAGGGCTGATGAGACTTCCAAGATAAGTGAAGCGGTCGACACACCCAACTACTTCAC